ATAACAATAAGTGTTTAATTTAAAAAAAAAACTTTTTTTTTCAAAGCAAATATTAGCAAAGTAAAAAAAATATAAGTGAAAAATAGTAAATATAAATACAGTAAATAAAAAATATATTAAATTTCAAAAGTTAGCAATATAACTTTTACAAGGTACTTCAGCACACAACATCTGATAGTATTGTCGGCATAAAAACTGGATTTAATTTTTGTTCTTTTAATTTATAAAAGTTTTGAAAACATTAAATTGATGTCCTTTAAAAGATCTTGAGACATGGTTTTTATTTATTTAGTAGACCTTTGGACATCATTTGTTTAGTAGAACATGAGGCGACGTTTTTATTTGTTACAGTAAATAAATTTTACACATCTGCGCAGAAATGGTTTGGTGGGAAAGCGAATTTTTTCTCATCATTTGAGCTTGAATTAATATATGCATATTACAAATACCTAACAAGTTGATTTAGAAGCTTTAGAAGTGGCTGATTCTACTCAAAACATATGCTGTCAGTTTTCCAAATACGAAACCTGTTTATCTAACTTTCACGATACTTTTTTAAGAAATGGCTTGAACATTGATTAAAGTAATTTTTAAAATGTTTAAATTTAACTCTACATACTGGTAGCAGATAATGAATTAAAAGAAATACTGTTATATTTTTTTAAAGACTCAGGTTCAATGCAGAAACTAAAGAAGTATTAGGTTAAAGTTATTGTCTAGCATAATAAGATAACATTAAAGTTTTTTGACTTTAAAAAAAAAAAAAAATATCACAAGTACCATAAAAATGCTCCAGGTGTCACTCTTACTCTCAAAGTTTCTTTTTTCTATTCTTTAATTTTTTGTAAAAGTTTCATAATATATACAGTTTATATAAGTAAACTTTTATTATTGCAGCATGTAAGTACTGAGTACTAAGTTGATGTTACTGCAGCACGTAAGTACTGAGATTCTCCTAGTTGATGTTACTGACATAAAAAATGAGCCTTTTTATTCAATTACTTGACAAGGTAAATTAATTAGTTACAAACCAGGAAATTAATTAGTTACAAACCCTGATTTGTTAAATACTTCATTTTCTTTCATTTTTGACTGAAATAAATTAAAGTTATTTCTTACTTGTTCTCTATTTAAACCTTGATAGTGTGACCATTAATCTTGTTCAAAAATCTTTTTAACTTATCGTAATCTGCCATTATGTTAATATCTTTACTATGTTTTAAAACTATGTTTTAGATCTCACTTTTCTGCAAAAAATATATGCTAAACAACGCAAATCTCAATAAAACTTAAATAAAATCTCAATAAAGTTTGTAACAGTTTATAAATAAAATCCTTTTGCTTTCATAAATTTTACACGTTTAATTGTATTTTGCTTTCTTAAACAAAAATAGATAGAGAAGGGGCAGAATAACTATTTTTTCTAAAGTTTGGTGTTTCATGAGGAATAGCATTAAAAAAATGCTGCACTTTTGATTGAATGTATTTTTGCATATTCCATTGCTACAATAAGCTTTTCTTGGATCCAACCATCCATCTAACCTACATTGCTCTTCGTTAATGTGCATGCATTAGGCCTTTAAATATATAGTCATAAAAGTACCAATGTTACATTTAAAAAAAGGCAAGTAAAATAATCTTCTAACAAATAACATTCATAATTATAAACGAAGAAAAACAACAGCAACAAATAAAATCACTACTTGTACAATGGACCTTAAAAATAAAAAATTATACAATTAAAAAAAATAAATTTACAAATATGTTATAAAAAATTTTTTTTAAACAAAATAACGTTTAAGTACAACAATGAAAATGTAAACAAAAAAGAAAAAGAAAAGTAAAATAACTGTGAAACCAATGAAAAAATAAAAATTACAAAAACAAAAATGCTATTAAAGGTATATTTCTTAATTCGTCGTCGTCTAAAATTTATTTTTTAAAAATCAATTGTTGTTTTTTCCATTGCTATTTTATTCAACTTTAGGTAGATACTTCATTTCAATTTTAAGTATTTATTATTAATTGTTCTTCTTTGCGTTCATGAATTTTTTATCAAAAAATTCATGAACGCAAAGAAGAACAATTAATAATAAAACATCAGTTATATAAAAGAAGCTGTAGACACAAGCAGTAGTAGTAAGATTGATTTTTAAATTACGACACTTCAAAGTATGGCGATTTCTTCCAAAATAGAAAAGTGATTGCTACCAAATGTTTAGAAGTCTCCGCAGAAATCATTTCAGTTTTTTTTTATATTCAACAAACAAGCTAAATTATCATCCCGTATCAAAAAACTTGTTCATTTAAATTTCATTAAAATTAAAATTTTATTTTTGAACAAATTTGATGGAGATGGGGTATGGATAGAAAAATTTCTATAGAGATGGAGTGAGGGCGGGGATGGTTTCTACTTCCATGTCACTCTCTATCCCAGACTTACCCTAAATCTCCTATAACAGACTTATTCTCTATATATCCCTGGTATCAACCCTAAAACTTTATAAATGATTTATCCTATAATTTTAGACTTAATTTTATTTAATCTGTTTAATTCTTTAAATTTTTTATTATTTATTTTATTGTTTCTGCTTATTTTTATTGCTATTAATTTTTGAATTTTTTTTATTAATTTTTTTTTTTTTAACCGGGTTTAACATTGTTATTGTACTTTTTTAAATATTAGCACTTGAGCTATTTGAAAATATCCTTGAGATGTATAAAATATTATATAAGTATATTTTGAGATGTACATCCTTTTTCTCAAAATATACTTAATTTAATTTCCTTTTTTTCCTGTTTTTGTTTCAAAAAAAAACTTTACCACTCGTAAAAGTCTTTTAAAAAATTTTCGTTCTGGAACTGTTTATTTAGCTTAATATAAGTTCACACGATTGTTCACGGAATACATTTTACTCTGTGGAGAGATAAGGAGGGGAAGGGGAGGGAGGGGAAGGGCAATAATTGTTTTAAAGAAAGTGATTTTCTAGTTATAGTCGGTTTTTTGACGAATATAATTAGGTAGTCGGGTATTTGACACATTTCAGTCGGGTAATTTTAGTTTTAAGGATTCCCCCTCCCCCTTCATTTTATTCGCATAATCGTCTCTGTATATATATATATATATATATATATATATATATTATATATATATATATATATATATATATATATATATATATATATATATATATATATATATATATATATATATATAAATGTATATATAGTTTATATATATATATATATATATATATATATATATATATATATATATATATAATATAACTATATATATAAATATATATATATAGTTATATATATATATATATAAATATATATATATATATACAATATATATATATATATATATATATATATATATATATATATATATATATATATATATATATATATATATATATATATATATATATATATATATATATATAATATTAAATACAAATATCGAGTTATTTTACTGTTGCTGTTTATTTCGGTATTTATTATGGTAGTTCATTTTTAACACGCTTCATTAACACTTATTGTTTGATTTCAACCAATATACGCTTAAAAAAAACAGTTTATAAAAAATACGAGTTACCTTAAAATTTGTTTTTAAACTGAGGAGGGCTAGGGCTGCCTAGTGCTGTGGTGCTGCCATGAGTGCATATGTTGTGATCGTGTCATGACAGCATATGTTGTGATCGTTTTATAATATTAAATACTTAATCATATTAAAAATATTTAGTGGATTCCTTTGCTTTTGGTTTAGTTACATCAATGAATATTCTTTTTTAACAGTTGTTATCTTCTTAAAATATCTCTTGGCAAAAAATAAAACTTATGCCTAATTGATAAGCTACTTGTATATTATTACCTTATCTAGCAGATAATTTAATCTATAAATTTGGGTATAAAACTAAACTATTTTAATTCATGAGGAGTTACAAACAAAAAAAAATCGTATTTAAACAATATTTTAATCGTATGTAAAGTATTGTGTTTTTAAATGTTTTAGTTATTACCGAAACGCGTCAAAACGCGTCGACTTTAAATCAAAGTAAGTAAGTGCGAAATTTATTTTTATCTACTATTTTTTTTTAACTTTATTTATTTTTATCGCAGAGTTGAACGTAGACGGGTAAATAGGACGGGCGCCAAAATAGTTTATCGAGTAGTTAAAAAAAATTTCTTTATAAAATTTAAATAAAAACAAATAAACAATATTTTTCTAAATTTTTTTTTTTTTTGGCAATTTAATACTTTCAAAAACTTAGTCACGCTTTTTTTAAACACGAGTGCGTGGGTACTTAGGTCAGGTCAGTGATAAAGAAGCCGCTTAAAAGATTTTTTCAAAAAATATTATTGACTTCGTTTTCTAAAACATTGCTAATTATTATAAATGGATTAAAACATGTTCATTATAGTATTTGTATTTAAATATCTTTAAGTTAAATAAACCTTAAAGTTTATCTGATTAGTTAAATGCGGACTTAAAGTAAGCGCCTCTGAGAACTAACAACTTGACAAATTGTATAGAAGATAATACCGAACTCTGGCAGTACCGAAGTTGATTTCATTTTAAACGTTTATAACCTACGATTAAGTACATTGAGTACATTGAGTAGTAATCGCAGCACTTGCGTTGATGTACATTATATAAAAGTTTCACTTGAGTTAATCAAAAATGTAGAAGTTAAACGTATTTTTTTGTAGCACATAAACTTTTTTCGTTCTGTTTGAATTTCTTTTAACTAAACTTCTTTTTTATTTTTAAATTATATTTGAACACTTATTTGTTAATATAAATATAAATATATGTTTTTTATATAGAAAAAAATAACTATATGTTATATATACTAAGGCTACTATATATATATATATATATATATATATATATAATATATATATATATATATATATATATATATATATATATATATATATATATATATATATATATATATATATATATATATATATATTATTTTTACTAGTTTCTCGTAGGAACAATAATCACATGTATATAAGAAATATTGTTTTCATTCTTCCTCTCTGTAGTTATTTTGATGCACGTGGTGTTTGATTTATATAAAGAGAGCGACACAAAACACAACAACAGAGAAAAAATAAACAGATAAAGTATACACTTCAGCTCTCGACTTACTACGAAAGTATTATACTCATGATTGATGCTTTTTTAAATGACGGTTATATAAGACTTTTGAAGTTTTAAAGAACAGCTTGGTATTTTTAAATAATAAGATTTGACTGGAAATTTTGTATAAAAACTTTTAGTTTTTGCGCTGTTCAAAACGCAATTAATAAAATAAAACTCTACGAAAGAGTACGCAAATCTTTGAGAACGACTAATATTAGCGCAATCTTTTTGCTTTCTACTTCCGCATTTGAAAAATTTTTATGGGCTTTTTATAAATATCTTATTATCGATGATAAAAAACCTCGATGGATCAAAAACCATGGATGTTTGCTAGTATCGGTCTGGATGTAATTGTTATTTTAGCAAATGCTTTTGAATTGATATTGCTTCTTAAAAACTGGCGAAGGCTTGATAGAATTGAGTATTTGTTATTTAGCCTCTCCGTATCCGACTTCATTGAAGGTACAATAATGTTGATATCCGATGTTACCCAGGTACGGAAAGAAGCCCCAAAAATGGACGATCCTGAAGCATTAGTTACAGAGACATTGTTTCTCTTTTTTATAATTGTATCCAACTTTCATGTAATTTCTATAGCTATTGAAAGGTTAGTTGCTGTTGTTCTACCAATGAAATACTCAATCTTTACAACAGCAAAATGTAAAACGTTCACTATAAGTTTTGTTTGGACAGCCGCCATATTAATTACAACTATCATTGGGATTTTTATTGGCAAATCTAAAAAAACTCAATCAGCATACTTTTACTTTTCCAGTGTGTTAATATTTGCTTGTGTGTCTGTTTTTATGATTTATTTTTTTTTGGCGTGTGCTTTATTTGCTAGAGAGAAGAGACTTGCTCAATTGCTACCTGAAGAAATGCGCAAACAGTTGCGTGATCGAAAGACTACTATGTTTTGTTTGCTAATAGGGTGTTGCTTTCTTATTTGTCACCTGCCAATAACACTTGGATATTTGCAGGACACGCTCTCTCACCCGATATCAAGCTTGCTTGTGACATTAAACCACTTTTTAAATCCGTTTATTTATTTTGCAAAATCCTATTACGCAAAGAGAGAGCGATCTAATTCTGAAGCGCGGATTAGATTAATTTCCAGAGAAACTGTATCTTCGCGAACAGATTCGGTTTTAAAAGAGAAATCTAGTGAAACTTTAGAAGACACATAAACGTCTTATATATATATATATATATATATATATATATATATATATATATATATATATATATATATATATATATATATATATATATATATATATATATGTATATATATATATATATATATATATATATATATATATTCTATTTGTATATATTTTTTGTAATAATAATTTGTTATATATAAAAAAGATATAGTGTACATAAAACTTTTATAAAAATGACCACGCAAATCACACATTTAACGATAAAATAATTTTAAGATTTCCGATATATTCGTTTTATTTTTTGTCGAAGGATATGCGCGTATACGCGAACGTATTAATTAAGAAACTCGGGTAATTAATTGAATGTAATTATTCTAAATATAATCTCGTGGTCACGCGTGTCAATAACATCGCATTGGCAATAATTTAATATAGCTCTATCAAAAAATTTTATATGATATTTGATACTGAAGTAAATCATTAAAAATATCGAAGTGAAAGTTAAACAAAAAAATCTTTTTATATTAAGTAAATTTTTTTATCTACTATTTTTTATCTATTATTTTTTATCAAAATTTGAATAATTTATGAGAAGTTAATATTTTTTAAAAATCTTTTTTACTTTTTATATTTATTTTTTATTCTATTGTTGTTTTTTAATTTAAGATAGAGGAGGAGCGAAAGGACTCGGAATTTATATTTTTGTGCAATTGTTCTTCATGCATCAAACGTGTATTGAAATATATAATGAAACAATATGTGATCTTCTTTTGAAAAATATTTTTCAAAATTCTGAAAACTGTCAGCTGGCAATAACTTTTTAATTCTGAATGTTATCAGCTGGCAATAACTCTCTAACTCTCGACGTTATCGGCTGGCAATAATTCTGCGTTATCAGCTGGCAAAAAAAAAAAAAAAAATAATAATAATAATAATAATAATTACAAAAAAATTTATGCTCTTCTAGAAAAAAAACAAAAAACAATTAGCGACATTTTTTTCAATAATTTAACGAAGTTTTGAAGTAATTCAATAAAAAAATAATTAATAAAAAAATGTTATTAAAAGTAATTTGATTAACAAATTAACGTTTTTTTTAAACAAGAAATTAAGGAAGTTTCTTATTTAAAGGCTTACGCATTCCTAATCCAGTACTAAAAGTTTCCTAAGAGTTTATTCTGTTTTAGATTATCAACAAAGTTATTTCTATATTTTCGTTTTATTGATTGAAAACTCTTTCCTTCCACTTGATTACGCGTTTAAGTTAAATACTCATTCAAATTGTCGTTCCCATTGTAGCTAATAGCTTCGTTCGTACTTTTTATAGCTAATAACTTCGTTCGTACTTTTTTTTAACTAATAGCTTCGTTTCAACTTTGCTAATCCGATTCAGATTAGTAATTATTTGAAAAAAATCGTTTCTTTGATGTGATATCACAGCCTCAGGTAGCAAGATATCAGCCTCAGATATGCAAACAATAGCGGATTAATGTAGGCATAGCGCAGTGGTTGGTGCTCTTGCCTCAGAAGCTAGAGATCCGTGATTCAATGCCGCCTCAGGGCAAGTTTATAACACTGGTAAGTAAAGAGGCGTGACTTCTTTTCAAATTCTCTTTCGCGGTGCTGTGTGATAAGATCATAAAGACTTCTTGGAACACCTAAAATATAAAAAAATAAGGAAGGCCAAGATAATGCATTGGTGGAAGACAAATTTACCCTTGCGCTAAACATTCTAAAATTTAAGTTTATAATGATAAAGTAAAAAATGGTGTACAAGCTATTTTAGTTCGGTGAGTTAAAACTATGTGTTTGACTGCAATAGCCTAAACCGTAATATTTCGTAAAAATAATGTTAATATTGTTTGCTAATAAAAGTCTGTTCTATTTTTTAACGTATTTTTGTTTGCAGAATTGACTGCATCTTATGTTAATAAATTCCAGTTGTCTACCACTTTATTTGTTAAATAATAATACTTTTATCTTTTTTTAGCGAATTGTCAATAAAGTCTTTTATTATGATGATTTCTGGACATATTGTGTCGCAAGTTCTCTTCAAATATAATATAATCAGTTACATTTGATACCTTAAACATTTTTATTAATTCACCACTTCTTCTTTTTAATTTTTTAATTTTGTTATTTATTGTACGTTCTTAACCTACTAATTTTTTCCTCTCTACATAACACATGTCAGTATTTCAAACCTAGTTGTTCTATGTTGTTTCCAGTCTCTTAAAATCTTTAATCAAATAATGTTCCTATACTGTTGCTGCTATTCAAGAAGGGTTGAGCTTTTACGGTAAAAACGGTAAATGCACAAAAAATATTAATTAGTGTACACAGTGAAAAGTATTAATTTGTGTAACGCAGTGCAAGTTACAGTACGGTACATCGTTATTTTTTGTGCATTTACTGTTTTTATTTTAATTTTTTTTTTATTACCAAAATACCCTTCTATATTTAATGTGTGTTTATTTAAGTTCACAATTATCTTTGATAAAATAAAAAACATTTAGTATTATTGCAATGGATTTCGATTTAATATTACTGCAAAGACAAAATCAAAGAAAGAAATTGACTTTCCTGCTAGTTTTAACAAACTGTTTTCTACAAGGTTTTATTGAAGCAATTTATCAAAAATTCATGGTCAATATTTGCATCAAGCCCACATTTGTCCTAACGTGTTACGTGAAGCCCACGTAAAATAACGACAACAAATTAATTAGATTTAGTGAAACAGAAATTTTTTTAACCAGAGCACAATTGGAAGCTATATTGCACGAGTATCATATCATTAAATTTAAATATAGCGTGTAAAACTCAAAAAGGTTTGCCACTCATTTAGAAAAATGAAAATTTTTATGTGAAAAAAGTTTAGACACAGACAAATTTTTTCCAGATACCAACAAAAAATGCGTACCAATACATTTAAAAAAAAAAAAAAATTAAAGGAGGTTTTTTTTTTAGAATTTAAAATAGCAATACAAGTAAAATCGATCAATTGAACCAACTCACTATAGTCTATATAATGATTATAGTCGCTAGACAATCGGTATCGAACCTCTGTTATCGTTACGATATTTTACCTTATATTGATATCGAGATCATGCAATACTGGTATCAAAGGTATCTGTGATTTTGGTGTTGTTTCAACATCGAAGACATCATTACCAACTCGAGAACTGGTATTTTATTTTTATAAACGATAAGTAATTTGACATAGTAATAGTAAATATATAAGCTGAAAGTTATATAATAATTGATTCATTTAATATAACTACACTTTTTTAGTTTAAGTCGGCCAGTTTTCACTTTAATTTGGCATTTTTTCATTTTAATTTGGCAATTTTCACTTTATAAATTAGAGAAAATTGCCAAATTAAAGTGAAAATTGGCCAACTTAACATACTAATACTATTTCTAAATTAAAAATTGCCAAGTTAAAATGAAAAAAATGCCAAATTAATATGAATATTGGCAAACTTAAACGCAAAATGGTGTAGCGAACTCAAGGGCGCCTGTTTTTAGCAATCATTTATCTATCGTCAGCTGAGAACCAAGAAGTCGCCTGTCTATTTTTTGTGTTTCCGAGAAAATTGAGTTTTAAAATTTAATTTGTAAAGAATTTCTGGCAGAACTTTTTTAAATATTTTCAAAAGTTGTATTATTCTTGAGATTTATTGGACACATATTGCATTGATATTGCATTGATTGCTCAACATTTACTGATAATAAACAGAGAAGACACAAAATGAGGACTTACGGCCTCTTGGTTCTCGGCTGACGATATATAAATTTTATTTATTTTGAGAAATGCATATATATATATATATATATATATATATATATATATATATATATATATATATATATATATATATATATATATATATATATATATATATATTACGGATACTTAAGAAGTATTAAATTCAGGAGTGTCGTAAAAACTATTTAAAGATGCTGTTTGAATATTTTATTAGGATTAATAATATACATTTGCAACCATACAAGTATATAACTTATATATTTGTAACTAAATAATTATTTACTTACTTTATGTAGTAAATTTTTGATTTTTTTTGTTTTCTAAAATGTTTTGAGTGATGACGTCTAAAATGTTTCGGGTGATGACGTCTAAACTAATTGATTAATTACTTAAAGCGCATGAAAATAATTTATTTTTATTATTATAATTAATCGCTAATACGTTACGTAATTAGGGAATCAGTGACTTGGGTAGTTATATATTAGATTAAAATACTCAACGATCGTATGGTATCCTATGATTTTAATTTTATTAATTGCATGGTATCGCTGCCGTAATTTTTCTCTTAACTGGTAACATTTTAATTTAACTTAACTGTGTGGCATCGCTTCCGAAATTTAACTTTTATATCGTACATTCAACAATTAAAGTAAACGAAAAACTTTAGGTTATTTAACTAAGGTTACAAAATAATAATAGTAAGAAATACCACTTTATAAATCAATGTAGACGTACTTATGCAATAGGAACGCACTCTTGTCAAACTCCTATTCCGACGTTGAGCGTCCTTTGCGTCCGCGAACTCGTGTTTCTAGGAAAAGGGCAAAACGGGGTATATAGGGATTTGCGCAGCGGTGCGCACATACACCAACTAATTTTTAGAGAGAACATGCAGCGGAGTGTGTAAACAACGACTGAGGGTTTGGGGTGGGTAGGTTCTCTTTTAAATGAAGAAGTCGTTTTTTTACATTTTCGGACCTTAAGGACAGCGTCGGAATAAGGGTTTGACAAGAGAGCCTACCTATGCAATAAGGACATCGCCCCTTAAGCAATTAAAAAATGAGCTAGCGCAGTAATTGGTTACCATGGTTACAAAACAGTAAAAATCTAATTAAACTTGTCAATTGAGAATCACGAAATAAAAGAAAATTTAACAACTACTAAAATACAAGCGCATTTACCTCAGTAGTCGTTTTTAAATTTTAGCTCAAACGTTTGTTGCATAACACTATTTTTTTATTTTATTTACCAAATAAAATGCCTAAATCGTATTTTAATTTTTATGTAAGCTATTAGTTATAAATGTTATTCTTAATATAAGTCTTAACGGTAATCACAATGGGCATTTTTTTCTTATTTTAGTCTAACGAAAAATATGCTGTTAGTCGTGAATGTTATTCTCCAGCAGGTTGACCGTCTTTACGGTAATCACAATGGGCATTCAACGTTCCATCCTTTAGTCTAACGATAGCTTGAACAACACCCATTATATCGTCAGGAACTGTAAAAAAATAAATTTAAAAGCTTGTTTGTCAAATAATTAAATAAAGCATAACTAAATTCAAAAAAATGTTTACACATAAAAATATCATGGCCTAGAAGTTCATCAAATATGAATCCAGTTTAAAACATTAATATAGTAAACATTCAGTTGACTATTTTAATGTTTTGAGTTCCAATTTTTTTCTATTATGAACAGATTTGTTATTTTTCTCCTTAAATCGAGCTCAATTGTAAATAATAATACAACTTTTTAAAGTAATTATCTGTTGTAATCTCTTTCTGACAGTTATGCTGTAGATTTGTTAACATAACAACATACAAATAAACATAGTTAAAATGTATAGTAGATATATAATAGAAATATAAGAGATAAAAAATATAGGAGATAATAATGTTACCTTCCTGTAAAGAACTGCTGCTTGCTGTTGAATTTGTGAATCGTTCTTTCTGATAAAATTGTATTTTTTGTATCAAACTATCTGGAAAAGTTTTTTCTACAATAATTTTCTTTGGAAACAACTGACAATGTAAGCGTGGCAAACTAATGGATTCTTTGATATTGTCTCCAAAATATAACCAATTTATGATAACCTAAGTTTATAATTCAAGTCTATAATAACTTAAATGTCAAATAAACTTCAAATAAACTTAAATAAATACAAAATTAAAAAAAAAAAAAGTAAATATAATAAAAATGAAATACATTTATATTTCTTTTTATCATTGAAGTAAACTTCATTTGGTTTCTTCTTTTTCACACTTTTTGTGAGATAAGAATAAAAAATTTCAAAAAGTGAAATTAGTTAAAGTAATTGGAATAAAAATTCATTTCGCCTAGGATGCCTGAGGGTGTAAATCTAGCTCTGGTAGTGGGAATAAAAAATCACCTTTGTTAAAATCTGTACAGAAATGATGGGAATAAAAAATCACCTGTATTAAAGCAGTTGGAATAAAAGGACCACCAGCCGCACCCAAAACTCCTACAACATCCGAGTTGCTATCAGTAAAAATTATTGGAGACAATCTAGACATTGGCCTTTTTCCAGGAAACTTTTTATCATCATTGATACTGTAAACACTCCTCCATGTTTTATGAAAATCTTTCATGTGGTCATTATAAATTATACCAAGACGACTAGACATCAAACCAGATCCAAAGCTAATGCAATATAAAAGAAGTTTAATGTTATTCATTTATTTCTTAGTTATTATTTATTTGCTATTTATTATTTATTATTATTTATTTGTTATAATTAGTTACATATTTTCAGAATTGGCTTTATAAGCAAGTAGAGTTTGAATTACTAAAACTTATAATACTTTTATTATTCCATTATTTGAATTGTTTAAATTTTAAAATGACTAGACAATCATTAATAATAACTATGTATAAATATTTTCTAAAAAAATTATTTTGTGTGTTTATAAGTTTATTTGCAAATATATTACAATTTTTTTGAACATTAATAATGAAACTCAATAAATGTGAATTTATCAAAGTTTTTATGAACGAAAAAAACTTTCCAAAACTATTTCTGCATATTGTAGTATATGTGTATTAAGTTATAGTTTGCAGGAATTGACAACTCCACAGAAAAAAAAAAATTGCTAAAAACTGGAGAAAATTTATATACCTGAAGTCAAACAAACTTAGTTAATATACACCTTGAGATTGGAAAAAAGAAAAAAAAATTAATAAAGGTCTAAGAATATTGAAATAGATATATTGTATATAGAGGAATTCATCAATTTTTTGATAACTCATAACTCTGGGAACTTTAGTATTATTTTTAGATAAGATCTAAAAAAAATAATTTATAAGGATCTGCTGTCTTTATATAGCTTATATAAATACAAAAACCAATACAAATTTGCATAAAAAAACAATATGATTAGAGCAGGTCAAACAGAAAAGAAAAACAGAAGAGAACCTCTTTAAAAGATTATTATTTTGAAAAAAAAAATAATAATTTTGCTCAAATTTTAGGATTTCTAATAAAAAGACATTTGACATCAGATATTGACAACAATTGACTAACAATGGTTAGTAATATTGTTCTCAAATGGTTAGTAAGATTATTCTCTAATGGTTAGTAATGCTGTTCTCTAATGGTTAGTAATGCTGTTCTCTAATGTTTAGTAAGACCGTTTTCTAATGGTTAGTAAGATTGTTCTCTAATGGTTAGTCTGATCTGCTAAGATAATTGTTGAAATGTATGGTTAGAAAGATGTGTAAACCCTAATTAGAAAAGAAAAAAAAATTACAAATATGCAAAATCAGTTTAAAAAAAAATATTTGTAAATCATTTGTGACACCAAAAATCTATTTCATTATGTATCAGCATCAATATGATAAAACGAAAAGATATTTATAAGGCTGTAATTGAAGTTTTGTTTTTTTTTATTTGAGAACTTACAAAATTTATTTATATAAAATATAATACCTAAACCATGTATGCTTAGGTATCAGATTGATATCTAATCATACATCTCATGGTTTTATCGTACTAGTCGATGAAATTGTGATCGTTATTAATATTAGATAAAAGCAGAGACGGATCCCCAGGGGATGGGGTATGCATCAAATCTCAGGTTTTTCTTTAGCAATAACTGCATTCAAAGTTTTGGTTTTGATTTTTTTACTGTTCAAAATGTACATTGGTCACGTTTTTATTGTTCAAGATATTAAATAAAATTATTATACTATTTAGTCGAAAATGTCTCCAAAAATATTTTTATTTGTTATGACTTTTATCCGTCAAGATTTTTATTGATCATGATATAGTCAAGCCGAATGTAAAATATTATAAATCTATTTTATCAAAAAATAAATATTTAAAATATTATAAATCTAAAATTTTGGCAACTAGCCAAGATTTTAGATTTATAATATATTATATATTTAACAAAAAGAAGACTTTAACAAAACTTTGCGAGCTGAGCAAGCCGTTCGTCTAGGCAGCTATTTGAGCGAGCTATATGTTTTTAAAGGAGCTATAGATTTGAACCGGTTTTCAAATTATTTCTTATAGAACTTATATAATGATAAAAATTATATTAAAATATACAAATGAAAATGTGTGTGAAAAATAAAAAAAGTTTTTTTTTAGTACATTAAAAATTTTTGAAACTTTTCTTAAAGCATCATTTTAAAAGAACGTTATCGTCTGATGTTTAAGTTATTTTAAACCCTTTAAATTTACAACGTCAGTTCATTAAAAAGTTCGCTTTATTTAAAAAATCGTCAAAGTTGTTTAAAGTTATTAGGGAAACGTTTAAAAGTTTATAACATATTATAAAAAAATAAGTTTAAATAATTTATTTTGAAATTATTTCATGTTATTTTCCATTTGTATAATAACATCATAATATAAACATATAAAACGGAAAACAATATATCAACTACAATATATTTTTATTGTAATTAATTTTAAGCGTTTCGCAAAAAAACGTTAATCAGAGGCGATTTACGATGTCAAACTCATTCAAAGTTTAATTACAAGCAATTTTTCTCTTTCTTTTGTTCTATGTGAAGAGCAACTAAAAGTGACGCACAGTGACGCACTAAAAATGCGAAGATTTTTTAAAAGCTATTTACATGTAACCGCCAGAGGAAAAAAAAGAAAAAAATCTTTTTTATAAATAATAATCTTCTTATACAAAAATACGTTAAAAAAAATTAAAAAAACTTGTAAAAAATAAACTTTTTTCAGTTTTAGTTAGAAAGTTTAGTTTAAGTTTATATGTAGGCAGTTATATGAAAAATTTAAACTAAATTTTTTAAATTTAAAGTATGCTTAGGAGAAAAAGGCTATCAAATGCTGTACATTGGTACCAAATTTATGTTTCTAGCCCAATTAGAAGCAAAGTTGTAATTTGAGTAATGAAAACGGATGACGGACGTCTTAACAAAGAATATAGTCTATATTCTTATAGACTATATAGAATATATTAAGAATATAGTCTATAAATTAACATAATAAACATTTTTTTTTATATAACATGTTGAATATTTTATGTAATTTTGAAACTGTGAATTAAAACTTTTTAAAACGTTTTTCTTCATATAAAAATAAAACGTTTCAAAATTTTTTATTCACGGTTTTAAAATTACGTAAAATATATACAGTAGAATCCAGGATACGAGTTGACGGGATTTTACTGTAACATTTTATATAATTAAAAATGTTTATTAAGTTACTTTTTATGCAAATAAATCAGTTCATATTTCTTTGCAGTAATATATTTTTTATAATAGTTTTATTGAAATAGAAAATTTTGCATTAGATTCTAACTGTTAGATTCTGACGCGTTAGAAACTAAATTGTAACGGTTAGAAATCACCCGACGCACAATAGAGATAGAGCATTGGCGTATTATAATTTTATTATTGTTTATTAACCTTACTTGCTAAGTTTGTGTTTTTTGTATCATTTGATACAATATATATATATAAATCTTTCTAAATATGATTTAGAAAGATTTATATATATTGTACAAATTTAAAAAAATTCTTTTTATTTGAAATTATATATATATATATATATATATATATATATATATATATATATATATATATATATATATATATATATATATATATATATATATATATATATATATATATATATATATATATATATATATTATATATATATATATTTTAGAAAAAACCTAAAATCTCCTCTTTTTAGAGGTTTTTATTTAATTTTTATAAAAATTCGATATTTAATACTTAAATTTTAATACTTGAATGTATAGAACTGAAAATGTAAAAACTATTTAATATAAAATGTTTTTAGTCATTCTAACAGTTTATTAAAAATGCTAACGCAGCACATCTTCTCTTCTCTTGATTACACAATATTGAAAAATGCGCGCGCATCTAAACTTGCGAAAACGAAAGTCATGATCAATAATTTACGTAAAGGTAATAAAGTATTTTGGTTGCTGCTACCCGAAAGATAGTTCCTTTAATTTAAAGTTTTAAAGTAAAAGAATCGCTGCACTCTCAATAATTTTGTCTAAAAAAATGTTTTCTAGTTTAAAAAAGAGAGGAATGAGTGTGAAGCCAAATTCAAAATTTGCCCAGATCATTTATTTCTGTTTCTCCCAAAGATAAACAAATTTCCTTATGTTAATCATATTTATCTAATGCATCTTACAATCATAAATAAGCCAAGATTATGTAAGTTATGTAACCTTTGACCTGTTATTAGTCACAATAACAAGAGTTAAAAGCTTTAAGTTGGATGAAACTTGACAGTATCCTTATTTGGGATCAAGTTGAAGACTTAATTGTAAACAAAAAAGCCCTTTTTATCAAACAAAAACTTATTGAAAAAGATAAGTTTAACAAAAAAGTATAGTTGGTATGATTTATTTTCCCCGTCCATAGTTCTTGCTCTGTTCCAACAAATGATTAGTCGATAACTGTGAAATTGATAACTGATTGAAGTGATTAGTTAGATACAAGTGAATAATGGTTACAAGATGACAATAGAGACAAATTAAATAATGGAGGAATAATTATTGGCTTGCATTTTTAAAGTATGGTATATTTTAACATAGAATAACTAGTAAGACTTATTTCATCAAGAGTCAATAATTGTAAGACAGCAATAAAATTGAATGTGAACATTTTGCAATCAAAATTAGATTAATTTTAATTGCAAAACCAGCAACTTGTGTTAAAAAAACGAATGACTTAAAAAAAGGGGTTATTATTTATTTAATTCTTATAAAAGGGGTCCGCTCTGGTTATGCCGCGATAAATAATAAGGATTCTCATTCATTTAACACGTATTGTAAAATCAGGAGCGGGTTTTGTCTCTCGCCAAGGAGAGGGCTAAAAAGGTCTTTAAAAAAAAAGTCCGCATATTTTCATTTTTAATTAACTTTTTTTTTTAATTTTTTGAACTTTAATGTAATAATTAAGTTCGTCTACATATAATTACGTATAATAGTCAATTTCATTCCTCAGTTTAGTAATCCAATAATGTATAATAGTCAATTAACAAAAGAAGTTTTTGAAAAAAAACCAAAGAGGGGGAAGCATCAGGTATCAGCCCCCCCCCCTAAAACCCGCCGCTGTGTAAAATCTCCTCTTTTTCAGTGATTACCATATGGCAACCCTATATATACCCCTAATACATACATATATATATACATATATATATATATATATATATATTATATATATATATATATATATATATATATATCTATATGTATATATATATATATATATATATATATATATTATATATATATATATATATATATATATATATATATACATAACCCTGAGGGTATGACTAATATTTTTTTTATAGATTTTTTAATTAACCATGTCATCATATAAGAAGAAATTATATTTATAAACAAAAAATATAAGTTTTTTATGTTAATGAAACATCAAGTAGTTGTTTTGAAAAATGAAAAGAGAAAAGTTAGATGAAATAATATTTAATGGGATAATGCTTGTGTTAGATGAATATAAGCTGTGGCCAGCCATTAAAATGATTTTACCTGACACAACATCTGCAAATAAAAGAATTGGTGTAGTAACTCTGTTACAGACATTTCAAAACCATCAAACTAGAAAAGCCTGATTTTATTGGATACCAACAACACGCTTTACTCTAACTTTTACTCAACACCATACTCTAGATTTTTGAAACACGTCATGATCTTTTTTGCTTTTGAAACATGTCATGAATGATCTTTTTTGCTTTTGAAACATGTCATGAATGATCTTTTTGGCTTTTAAAACATGTCATGAATGATCTTTTATGCTTTTGAAACATGTCATGAATGATCTTTTTAAAGTATCAACAACATTACTAAATCTTCACAAAATCCTTTAGTGATAAGATTACTGCAGAGTACGAGAACTTGAAGTTCTGATTACTAGAAATCATTTGACGAAAGTAAATTAGACATGCTGGCAAGATGACATGGACTTAATAGCTTGTTATAGAAAGTTCAAATTTTTTGAAGATCAAATCATTTCTTGCTATATGCAATGCAAGATGAAACTTGAGAGCAGTTTTTGTTTTACTTGCTTACATTCTAATACCGGACTATCAAGAATTGAAATCTGCTCAAGCAGCATGCAACTTCATCTAGGATTCGTTGGGCGATTTATGGTTTGGTGGTCACTACTTCAATTTTGCAGAATTTGCTTATCTATAAAAAAGCATACAATGAGCATCCAAAAGTATTAAAATCGTTGAAAACATTTCGGTCCACAGAGCCAACACCAACTCCAACAAAACAGTAAAATATATGTGCAAAATGTGCAGTAAAATTGATGTAAGATTTAGCCTTTATGTCATAGCATTGAAAAACTTAATGTTAAATACTAAATGTCAAATACACTGTAAAATTATTTTAGTTATTCATGTTTTATTGGTTTTCCTTAAAGTACTGGAACATGTGTTGCAAAATAATATTTCTTTTATTCCATAAATTTTTTTAGTGAACCTTTTTGAGATATAACATAAATGTTCAATATTTTCTTGATTTTTACATAAAAACTCTACTAAATTGAGTATGGGGTACAGGGTGGCAAAAATGTCATACCCCTAATATATATATATATATATATATATATATATATATATATATATATATATATATATATATATATATATATATATATATATACATATATATACATATATATATATATATATATATATATATATATATATATATATATATATATATATATACATATATATACATATGTATATACATATATGTCTATATATATATATATATATATATATATATATATATATATATATATATATATATATATATATATATATATATAACATTTACAGCATAATAAGAACTTATTTAACTTAAATATATAAAACATATACAACATATTAAAAACTTACTTTCCATTTAATGAAGAAGTACAAGAAACGGCATTACCACTTTTATCTATGATGGATATATGAGTGGTGCCACCAGGTTCAGAGTTTAATGCTATATTGTATGGCATATAGTAAGATGATTTATGCGATGTCATATCAATCCGGCGTTGTTTTTCAAATGCCACTTCTGGATCCAACATATAAGAGGATACCTTAAAAAACCCAACACACACATGCACACACACACACACACAGATATATATATATATATATATATATATATATATATATATATATATATATATATATATATATATATATATATATATATATATATATATATATATATATATATATATATAAACATATAAATAAATAATATATATATAAATAAACATGTATATATGTGTGTATAAAGATGATTGGGATTTTTTAAGAAAAATTCCAAGAAAATTGGATTTAGATAGTATTATACTAACGTGTGACATTGTTAATCTTTATACCACGATTCCCCACGACCTTGGTTTAGAAGCATTAAAATTCTGGGTTGAAAAACATAAAAATCTAATACGTGAACGAATTACTACCAATTTTATTATAGAATCAGCATCCTTTATTTTAAAAAACAATAATTTTCTCTTCAATAACCAATCATTTCAACAAATTACAGGCACAGTCATAGGCACAAACTTTGCACCAGACTATGCATGTCTTTCGATAGGATTTTTAGAAGAAACTTTACTTTTTCCAAAAATTTTACCAAGGTTTTTTTCAAATGACAAAGTTCAAAGTATTGAACAATTTTACTACAGACATGTTGATGATGGTTTTAACATATGGCCTAAACATCTAGATATAGAAAAATTTAAGTTGTCACTTGCTGAATTAAACAAGTCAATTACCTTTACAAGTGAATATGGCGTTGAATTAGTTGAGAAAAAAAATATTTATAATATAATTAATTTTTTAGTTATTTCTGTCATTCTTTAAAATAACAAATACATTAAAACCAATATATTTTATAAAGAAACTATAAAAAGAATACAACAAATCTTTTCTAATATAAATACAAACAACCACCTAATTAACTGAGACAACTTACTTCTGCTAAATTTAATTCCGTATCACCTAACAATAAAAATATAGGAATTTTTAAATGTAATGATAGTCCTTGCAAAATATGCCAATTTTACCTGCAAGAGGTAAAAAATTTTGAAACATCCAATGGTACTATCTGGACCATTAAAAGTCATGTTACTTGTAACAGCAAGAACGTAATTTATTATTTAAAATGTTTATCGTGTAATGGCCAAGCAACATATACTGGAAAAACAAACAATTTGAGAAACCGCATAAATGGTCAAGTTGCAGAACCAGCCATTCAACTGACAGATTTGATAACCATGTGTATGGTTGCCAACGTATAAATAATAAAACAACGGAACCGTTTTTCCAACTTTCTGTTTTTCTAGAACTTCAAAGTGATAAAAATTTATTGTCTTATGTAAGTCATTTGCATAAACAAAAGCATGATACTTTTAACTAACACTTCCTGTTTTAAAGGACATTAGCAATGGTAACTAATAGCAACAATACCTTAATTGATTAAAAATTATACTTTTGTCACACAAATAAATAAATTAAAATTTTTTTTTTTTTTTTTTTGCATAACAGCACTTAAACTAGCACTACTGATGAAACATTGAAAGGTCTAGTCTAGTGTTAAATATATTCATCTAGTGTTAAATATATTTTGTACTATTTTGTTAAATATCTTTTTAGAAATATAAAAAACTTTTTTTGAAGTTGTTATTTTGCTTGACATACATTTTTCATTATATATATATATATATATATATATATATATATATATATATATATATATATATATATATATATATATATATATATATATATATATATATATATATATATATATATATATATATATATATATATATATATATGTATATATATATATATATATATATATATATATATATATATATATATATATATATATATATATATATATATATATATGTATATATATATGTTTAACAATAAAAACCAAAAAAAATTTAAAAAATAAAATAAATTATAAAGGAATACAGTTAGAACAAATAAAAAATTATATAAATGAAAAGACAATAAAAAATGCAATGAAAAAAACACCTGATTCGAATACATTTCAAAAAAAGGATCTTGAATAAAAGTGTTAGGTGCATAAGAAAACTTCAAAGCCTCAATGATATAGTGATAAATTAATCCTGGATTGGCAAATCTATCAGCTGCTGTCCAATTAAAAAAGTCGATAATTTTTAAAGCCAGTGAAACCAATGATCCACCACCAGGCGGAGGAGAAGAATGCATAAATAATCCCTTTATTTCAACTTTGGTAGGCTTACTTATTCTTACTTTGTAATGATACAAATCTTCAAGAGTGATAGTACCACCAGCTTCTTGAATATCCCAAACAATATCATAAGCCATTGCACCTCTAAAATTTAGAAAACTAAATTATAATAAATGTTTACATCATCGAAAAACAATATTAGTTTTTTTGTAAAAATCTTAAACAAAAAATTTATATATTTATACAAACACATAACATAAAATAAATTATTATATTATTATTAAGATATTCATTTGAAACTACAACAATTTAGGTTAATAAAATGATCATGATAACAATGATAACAATGATCATGATAACAATGAGGAAGCTTATACATAACAACCACAACTACAACATTTTTTAAACAAAATTTGAATAAAAAATTAAAAATTTGAAAAAATTAATTTTTATTTGTCAATAATTTTGGTCATTTAAAAATTTATGAACATCACCCCTGTTTAAGCATTATAATGTATAATTTGATCCACTTAGAACTTGACCTGCTAATTTAACATTCAAATCACTGTAAGTAATTCTAATCACTGTAAGTAAGCAATTAAGGCACTAGTAACTAGTTTGATTTCACAATTTTTTTTATAAACACTAAAAGCTTTTACAATAATGGAATCAGTCAAAGCAAATTTCTGATTATCATATAGCACTGTATTCATAATATTGTTGACATATAGCACTGTATTCATAATATTGTTGACATATAGCACTGTATTCATAATATTGTTGACATATAGCACTGTATTCATAATATTGTTGACATAAAGCACTGTATTCATAATATTGTTGACATATAGCACTGTATTCATAATATTGTTGACATAATATTTTTATATATAGCATAATATTTTTAATTCATAATATTGTACGTGAAAAGTTATTAAGTATTGAAATACTCTTTTCCATTAAATTAAAAAATTAAAATTAAAATTAAAAGTTTCTGTAATAAAACTAATAACTGAAAATAAAGACTGAAAAAAATAAATAAATGCTGACATATGAAAAGTACACACCTATAAAAATCTTCATCGTTTCCTGATTGAGCAATTCTTGAATATGTTCTTGCTAAGGTCAACCTTTTTAAAGTATCATTGAACCGTAGAATATTTCCACCAGGTTTAAATGTGTTGCTAGTATAAAAACATATTTTTATATATTCAAAAAGTATTCAAAACATAACGAAACAGTAAAAGCTAGCTAAAAAATATTTGATTTGGGTTCAAAATCTTTCAAAAAAAAAAGAACTAAAACTTATTCAATTGAAAACTTTGAAACCATTGCAGCTGTAGTGCAGAGGTTAGAGCGCTTCAATTCTTTGGAACCATAAGGATTTGACTAGATTTGATGCCAGCAATGAGTATTTATAATACATTATTTTCAAAATTACTTCATTTTATGCAGACATTCAAAACAACTAAGTTATTTATTTATTAGTAATTTTTAAATTAAGACAAATAAACAGTCTTATCATCGGAATATAAAACTAAATACAAAAAAAGTTTAAAAAACTTGTTAAAAGAAAACTTTGTATTGACGTCAGTTTTAAACCTAAATAATAAAACACATAATTGATTTTCAGAAACCTGTGTTTAAATACTGACAGTCATCCAAATTCATTCCCATTAGATCAACAGAGCTAATATTGGTACTAGATCTCCAAGGCTTTCCTAATTTAATTATCTTTCAAATTTATTAAAGGTTAACACTAAAACTTTGGCATCAGTCCAGCAAATAATTCTGTGACAAAATTTTTTATGGTTTGATACACCAGAATTTACTTTACTGTCTTAAAAAACTTGGACATTTTCAAATGAATTTCACCTACATATGATCAAGGATGCATTAATAGATGGAAGTTTAACTACTGTTTAAAAGCAAAGACATCTGTACTCTTAATTGTTATAAATAACAATAACCAAATAATAGAAAACATTTGCGCCATGTGGAATTTATGATTATTTGATATATATATAACTATATGATTGTTTGATAATAATTTGATTAAAATTTTGTTATATGAATAAACATCAAAATGACTGTCTCATCTATCTAAATAAATAAAACTTTATATATATATATATATAAACTATCGTGATTATATAAATATTCTATATATTTGTGATTAAATAAATATTTTATATATTCAATTACCCTTGTATAACTCCTGTATAACTCAATAACAAATAGTTTTCAAATTATTAAAATTTTTAAAATATTATTTTAATTTTTATATTATTATTTAATTTTAATTATTATTTAACTTCAGTAATTGCTGCCCCTTTGGTCTACAACAATGCATTTTAACATCCATCTATGTTTGCATCCTTGGTATGATCTACCGCAACTAGTTAGTTTATAAACACCTGGCTGAATCTGTATTGACATGCTTCAGCAAACCAGGTGTTTATAAACTAACTTTCAGTTGCTGGACTGATGCCAATCTTTTAGCACTATTTTTCAATAAATTTGAAATAAAAACTAGGGAAGCCTTGGAAACACAATACCAAAAAACTGGCCCACATGATTCAATGGGGATAAATTTGGATGAAAGATTTCTGAAAATCAATAATTGGACTATCATTGGTTTCCAGAAAAGTGTTTATAATTCAATAAATATTGGTTTCTGAAAACCAATGATGCACTTTATTCAGAGTTAAAACAAAAAACATTTTATGAGATCATCTATTGGTCTGATGATCATCTAGTGGTCTTGAAATATTACATGATGATGAGATCATCTATTGGTCTGATGATCATTTAGTGGTCTTGAAATATTACATGATGATGAGATCATCTATTGGTCTGATGATCATCTAGTGGTCTTGTAATATTACATGATGATGAAATCATCTATTATATTGATGAGAAACAACACAGAACAAGTGCAAAAGCTTGTGTTACCCCAAAAGTTACTGGAAATGGAGAGTATAGTCCATCAGGGAAAAATTAAATATTGCAAATAGAATGAAATGATTCAATAACTTTAAAAAACTTTACCAGACAACATAAAAAATAAAGATTATGAAGAAGACCACAAATGATATAAGAGTTTAAGCAAGAAATGACTTTAGCAGCATTTATCTAGGGTCAGTTTGAATGTTTAACAATCCACTAACCAGTTTTTTTTTGAGATAACAGAAAGAGTGTGGCCATAAGATTCAAGAGATGAATCAGAGAGTTCATAGCAAGTAGTTCTGCTTTATTCTTGGAAGAGGTAATAAGTTTAGGTCTTAGACTTGCTTTTTTTATGAAATTAAGATTTTCTGTTTCTAGAAATTTGCTTCGAAAATTAAATGTGAGTTTTGAGAAACTGAGAATAATGTCTGACTTTTATATTTTTCCACCAATGCTAAGATAAGTACGGTGGTAGTGTAGTGGTAGAGTGCTTCCCTCATAATACAGAATTTCCTAGTTTGATCCCTACCACGTCCCTGGTAGTACAACACACTCAACTTATTTCTCTGTGCAGCAGCCTTGTCTGCCAAGGTTCATGTTTCGGAGTTGTAAAGTTGAGAGAGGATTGTAACTATAATTTAAGTAACCTCCTCAACTGTAGTGGCTTTCATGGTCTTGAGGAGGTGAATTAATATTAACAAAAAAAAAAACTGTTTTCAAGAAACCTAGTCAATAATGAAATAAAAATAATAAGCCTAACTTGAAAACTATGATAAAATAAAAGCTGAATCCAAAAGATGACATAAAAAACATATTTGCCAGTAAAACATCAATCCAAAAACCATCAAAAAGAAAATGAGACTAAGAATCCCAGTCAGCTTTTAAAAAGTACAATGTAATCAATTTTTATGCATTTTCATTGTGTTAAAAAAGTTATAGAATTAAAGCATGGTCTGAACAGTTAAGATTTTGAGTTTTATTAACAGCTTAATTTGAAATTAAAGGAACCAACTCAAGATATTTAAAAGAAACAACTAAAGTTATTTAAAGGAATCAACTAAAGTTATTTAAAGGAACCAACTAAAGATATTTAAAGGAACCAACTAAAGTTATTTAAAGAATTTAGGAAGCAGTATTAGTTAAGTAGCTTATTAAATTTTCAAAACAATAAAAAAAAACTTTTTTAAATACTGTTGTTTTGCTTGGCAAACTTTTTCAAAAACTAGGTTATAAAAATTTTATTTAGCGTTTATTTAAGACCCTTGAACAATAGATATATTACCAAATAATATGATCATAAATAAGAGTATGTATGATCATAAATATGTATGTATGTATGTATGTATCCATACATACATACATACATACATACATACATACATACATACATACATACATACATACATACATACATACATATATATATATATATATATATATATATATATATATATATATATATATATATATATATATATATAATATATATATATATATATATATATATATATATATATATATATATATATATATATATATATATATATATATATATATATATATATATATATATAAATACATACATTCGACTACAATTTTGCTACCTCAACAAATAAGCTAGATTTTATTGTCGTCAAAATGTCAAAGCCATTATATTAATGCAGAAGTACATTAAATTTTATTGTTTTTTAAAAAAGAAGCAATTAAAATGAATATGACTTTTTTTTTGTTAATGGTGTTTTTGTTGTTGTTTGGAGCTTCATCTGTTTATCAGGGAACTCCTATTTACAACTTCAAATTCTTGATAACAACTTTATTCAAAATTTAAAATTAATTTTTTCCCACAGACAGTGTAACCATACTGGAATTTATGGTTCAAAACTTTAAAACATGGGATTTATGGTTCAAAAACTACCAATAGTTGTACTATCAACCCATTAAAGGATTTTCTAGGGTCACAACATTAGGTGCTTTTTCATTTTTATTAACTGTGATTGGTGCCTAACTAAATTCACAGAAATATATATATATATATATATATATATATATATATATATATATATATACACATATATATCAAAAAGTTCCTTCTATAGACTGTTGTTTTAAATTGTACGCTTGTAGTTACGCTTGTAGTATGCAAAAGTTGATTTAGCAACATTTCCTTGTACAGCAGGCTATAAGATAGTCAATGTAGCAGCACTCCCTTATCGCAGCAGGCTATAAGATAGTCGATGTAGCAACACTTCGTGCACATTTTACAGTAAAAAAGCAACACGCATGTTTTACCTATTTGTCAGTCGATTTAGCAACACTCCTTGCTTGTTTTAAAAATATTTTAAAACAATAAAAAAACAAAAACAAAAACAAATAAAAAAACTTTCTAGTCATAATTATGGCGGTTTTTTAAAAAACAATAAAACTTAATGTACTTCTGCATTTTAATAATTGTTTTAACATTTAAACAACATTAAAATGTCTCATAATTGTTGATGTCACTTAAATGTTAAAAAAAAGCATTGAAAGAGACTTTTTCTACTATTAAAGTCTCTTTTGACTACTATACAAAGGTATATATATATATATATATATATATATATATATATATATATATATATATATATATGTATATATATATATATATATATATATATATATATATATATATATATATATATATATATATATATATATATATATATATATATATATATATATATATATATATATGTAAATATAACAAAAACCTCAGCATCCCTGGTGCATCAAAATATTCAATCTTTTTCAGAATTGCATTGTTAAGTGCAGCTCCAACTTGAATACCATCTGTGGCTAGATCTATGCATGGCTTCCATAACTCTGACCATGATATATTTTTACTACCAAAATCCTTCCAGAGAGTGTACAGCCCTTTAAGAACACCAGGTACTAATACTTTATCTCCTGGCATGTTAGCTGAAAAAAAGTTTGTTTAATTTAACATGTGTTTTTACCCTGCCATTAATCTTATTTTATAATTATATATTGATTCTAATTTATTCTTATGTATTCTATTTTTTTTTATTTTCTGTTTGAGTTTTGACGATCTTGATGATCAGATTGTTGTATTAAACAGAAATTAAAAGTTAAAAAAATTAAAAAAGAAAGAAAAAATATACAATAACTATCCCTGTTTTGAGAATAACGTAGTGGAACAGTTTCTCTAAAATCATATGACCAAGCAGTCTCTAAAAAACATAAAAAATCTCAAAAATTTTCTAAAAAAAAAAAAAAACTTAATTTATAATGATAACTAAAAGTAAAAAAACAACAATAACAACTAATTATTCACAACACAATCTAATATTTTTAAAAATACTAAAATTTGATACTTGTAGATTTATCATAGTAAACAATATTTCCTCCTCCACCCAGTCCAGTTGATTGACTATTAACAACCTCAGTGCAACAATGACTGGTAACAACTGCATCTGCTGCATTGCCACCTTTTTTTATAATGTCTGCTCCAATTTTAGAGCAAAGCTGACTATCGGCTGCAACTGAATATTCTTTAAATTTGAATGGATCATTTGTAAATGTTGGTTGCTTAGAATGTATCCATCCATCAGGATAATTCACTAAAAAAAAAATATAAAATCTCTTGCAAAAGTTTAGAATCATAATTTATTGAAAATAACATACACAAATGACAAATTATGAATAATTTATGTTTCATGCATACACATGTATGTATATAACACGAATTATGCTTTGTGTATGTCATTTGTGTACGTCATTTAAAATAAATTACCGAATTTACCTAAAAAAATACTTAACTGATTACTGATAAAATTATTAAACTATTTTATTAATAATTTTATCTTAATAATTAGTTAATAATAAAGATAGTTAATAATAACTAATACAATATGGGACAAAAAGTAGTGAATTTTTTTTTTTTGCGCTTTTTTTTATAAAATGGCGCTTTTTTTTTATAAAATGGCACTTTTTATTCAATTAATGAGATTCAAATCACTGATTTAGAATTAGTTAATAGCAAATTCAAATTCCTTTTTAAAAATGCTATAATTTATATATGTACAAGTTTGTATAAATCATTAGTTTTCATAAGAATATTTCCTATTTTAAATTTTCATTTGTTTAAATAAAATCCAAAATCTTAAGAAACATACATAATCTGTGTACATTATACATAAAATGTATATAAATGGACATATATTAAGGTTTTATGTTCCTCAAACTAACTATTAAAATAAATATTTTTAGAGATGGAAGCTGGTCAAATTCCGATTGGTGCCGAAGTTGCACCAATGACACCTGAAGTTTTTGTTGTAAAATTGTTGCTGAGAGAAAGGCATTTTTATGTGGCCTCAAATCAGGTGGAATGTTGTTTACTGAACTTGCAAAGACTCAGTATGTAATTTCTTCTCTGAAAAATATTGCAGCTACTAATTATACAGAAAGAAATAAAGGGTCTGGTCAAAAGCGAAAGACTGATGCACGAGACGATTGACGTATTATCAATGAATTTCGAAAAGATCGGTTTATAACTGAATCAGAATTAAGAGCATTGTTAAACTTAACTACTCTTGTGTCAATTAAAACCGCTCGTCAATGTATTAATGAGTTTGGAGAGTTCAAGTAATATTTTGCATGGAAGAAGCCATACATCAGTCTAACGAACAGAGGTAAGAGAGTAAAATGGGCAAAACATCATCTTCATTGGATTGTTGATCAATGACGTCATGTAATTTGTTCTGTTGAGTCACCATATGTTTTACAATTTGTGGGGAAAAGACGTGTATGGTGCAGGCACAATGATCGTTATTTAAAGGAATGTATTATTGGAGCTGTCAAGCACAATTTCAAATTAATTGTTTGGGGTTACTTTGCTGCTTACAGTGTAGGTAATACTCAATAAAAACAGTGTTACTGTTTTTATTATGGAGTATTATGGAGCAGAAGCAGTATCACAAGATCTTTCAGTATCCAAAATGCTTTTATATTTCATTAAGATGATTTTATATTTCATCAGGATAATGGTTCTAAACATACTGCAATAAATAATAAAGTATATGTCATCAACCAGAAATGGGAAACATTCAATTGGCCATCACAGAGTCTTGATCTAAATCCTATTGAGAATCTTTGGAGCATCCTCAACCAACATTTAAAGTTTCGTAGATGTAACACCCTTGATGATTTAATGGTTACTTTAAAAGAAGGGTGGGAGACTCTTGATCCTGAACTTTTAACACGTTTAGTTAATAGTATGCCTCTTAACTTTCTTAATCTTAGCCAGCATCCTTAATTTTTTTTTTATTAATTAGGAAAAGAAACATGAAACCTTAAAGCATGTGATCAATTCCCACCTTTGTTAATACTTGGAAGTAAAGAACTCCCAGATAAATAAGCAAATTTATAAGTAATTATTTATCGTTATAGATTAAGATTTTGGCTTTTATTAAAACATACAAAAATTTAAAATAGGAAATATTCTTATGAAGACTGATGATTCATACAAACTTGTACATATATAAATTATAGCATTTTTCAAGAGGAATTTGAATTTGCTATTAACTAATTCCAAATCATTGATTAGAATCCGTTAATCAAAAAAAATATATAATTGATAAAAATTACATTTTTTTACTAGCTAGTTAATTTGTTTATCCTACATCATAGACATAAAAAACTGAGACCTTATTTTAACAATTCAATGCCAACTGAATGAAAATAAAAAATTACATAAAACTCCTCAATACAATTAAAGAGGTAAAAAAATAATTAGCTCTGATATTTCCTAAGATAACTTCACATGTTGTCATTGTTAAAGTATTAAATTTATTGAAAATGAGATCTTTCCTGGTGACTGAACTTAAAGTCAAGTAATACAAGAGATGAGATGACCAGAGATGATTTAATGCAATGTTTTAATGAAATATTATTTTTGATGTTGTCAATAGGGAGTTCAACAATGTCTGGACTGACTGACCAGGGAATTCACCAGACCTTAATTGCATTGAGCATTAATGGGCAAGGCTTTAGAACTGAGTTTTTAAAAATCTCAGACCCCGAAAGCGCCAACAACTCATCACAAGAGTTCAAAAAGAATGGGCTTCCATCACCCAAGAATAATGCTATTCACTTATTGAAAGTGCCAGAATTTTGGAATATTTTGGTAAAAATGGTGGACATTAACATTGTAACCTTACATTGTAATAGCAACATTGTTCTAAAGATTTTGTAAAAAAATGAATAAAAAATATTAACTAACAAAAGAGTTACAGTCATTTATAAAAAGACATAATGGGTCAGAAATTAATTGTAACTTTGTAATTTCTGCCTACAACTTTAGCACAAAAAAGAAATAGGAAAAGTATTTAAACCATCAGTACTATATATTGATGCAGGTAAACCACAACAGCTATTCATGTTTCTATAATGAGAGGCAAGACAGCCTGAGGTTAAATGTTTTTCCCTCAGCAGCTCAATCTTAATGAACACCACACAGGTGCCAAGAGTATTATTTTAGAATGAGTCTTTTAAATGAATGTTTAAAGCAGGTAATATTTATTATATAAGATAATATATAAGCTATATTAAAATTATATAAAATTATAATTTTTATATATATATATATATATATATATATATATATATATACATATATATATATATATACATATATATATGTATATATATATATATATATACATATATATGTATATATATATATATATATATATATATATATATATATATATATATATATATATATATATATATATATATATATATAGATACAAACCTCGATGGGAAGCAAGAGCTTAAGCTCTCACGGTTTACGAGAGCAGTTTACAGCTCTCGCAAAAATATAATTTTCTCTATCAAAAGTTTAATTATCATTGTAACTAAAATAAAAAACACAGTCATTTTAATAATTATTTTTAATAAATCCTAAAATGCCTGCATTCTATTGCAATAAGAAAACATAAAACTTTTTTTATAAGCAGTAAAAACAACGCTTGTCTAAAGAATTTAGAGGAGCAGCTTGCATAGCTCACCATTTTGTTTTACGAGAGCTTTTCACCGCTCTTGCACTCATTTCTTCCTGCCGAGGCCTTTATATATATATATATATATATATATATATATATATATATATATATATATATATATATATATATATATACATATATTTATATATATATATATATATATATATATATATATATATATATATATATATATATATATATATATATACATATATTTATATATATATATATATATTTATACATACATATATATATATATATATATATATATATATATATATATATATATATATATATATATATATATATATATTTCTTTTTAACTTTATTTAGGTGCCCCAAGAAGTCCTTACGGTCTTATCACAGAGCACCGCAGATGAGCATTTAATTAGAAGTTTATGCCTCCTTCCTAACCGATGTCGCAAAACTTGCCCAGAGGTAGGGTTTGAACCACAGATCTTTGCTTCTGAGGCAAGTGCACTACCACTGCGCCACAGCTGCTCGATAACTTTTATAACTGTATGTATTTGCATAATGTTTAGACATGATCCTTATAAAAATAATTATTAAAATATATAATTATCAAAAATGCTTCACATAATAGTTATTATATTTATTACCTTTACACTCTGCAGTACTTGTAAATCTGTAAATAGAATTTAAATAATAACTTTAGCAAGTTGAGTTAATGCAAAAAAAAATTATTTAAATTGTTTCAATAATGATAATAATAATAAATATTATTAATATTATTATTATATTATATTAATAATAATTATTATTATATTATATTAATAATAATAATAATCATTATTATACTAATAATTGAAAATTAAAAAAAAAATTGTTTTGAGAATTTTGTGCTGTTGTACACTGCTATTGAGAAACAGAACAAGTAAGAGCAGTCATAGAATTAAAAATTGCAGTGACCTGTTAACATTTTTTTCTAAAAAAAGATTAACATAGTTAATATGCATATATTAATTACACCCATGTTTAATATGATATTTTTTTTTTTTTTTTTTTATTTTAATTCACCTCCTCAAGGCCGAGAAGGCCACTACAGACGAGGAGGCTACTTATTTGTGGCTATAACCCTCTCTCAACTCTATAACTCCGAAACACGAACCTTGACGAACAAGGCCGCTGCGCGGAGAAACGAGTTGAGCGCGGTACTACCAGGGACATGGTGGGGAACTCGGAACCACTCATTTATGAAACGAGCGCACTACCACTACACCACTACCGCATTTAGGGTTTTATAAAGAAAAGCCTACAAACTTAATTTCATGTTATAGAACATTTGTAAAAAAACATTTACAAATGTTCTAAAACATGAAAATTCGCTTATAAGTTGATTGTGGCTGATAGTAATAAATCTAATAACTGTTTTCTTTTTAAAAATCATATAACTTCAAAACATAAATCTTGACAATCAAGGTATGTTTACTTAAAAACAAGTTAAGTGAAATGCACTCAAGACATGATAGACATATTCAGGACTTATTTGGATTATTGTTTTTATTAAAGCCATAAATAAGTTAAATTACTAAAAAAGACTACTTGAAAAACAGAATATATGAATAAAAATAGGCTACATTTATATATATATATATATATATATATATATATATATATATATATATATATATATATATATATATATATATATATATATATATATATATATACATTTATATATATATGTATGTATGTATGTATATATATATATATATGTATATATATATATATATATATATATATATATATATATATATATATATATATATATATATATATATATATATATATATATATATATATATATATATATATATTTATATATATATATATATATATATATATATATAAATATATATATATATGTATGTATATATATATATATATATATTTATGTATATATACATAAATATATATATATGTATGTATGTATGTATGTATATATATATATATATATATATATATATATATATATATATATATATATATATATATATATATATATATATATATATATATATATATATATATATATATAATTATATATAATATAGAATTTTTAAAACCTTATTTCTTTATCTATATAAAAGTGTGTTGAACCACCACTTATTGAGATTAAGTAGCTCATTAAGTACTCACTAAGTAGGCAAGCAAGTGATACAACCACGAAAGCAATAAAACTAATTTTAATGTGTTTTCTATATAATAGTTTAAATTTGAATTTTCAATGATGGTTTAATAAAAATAGAATATATTGTAAAACTAGCAAATAATAAACTTCCAAAAAATAAGATTATCACAATCATCATTAAAACATTTTAATGACGATTGCCATAATTTTACCTTAAAATTTAAGGTAAAATAAATACCATTTCACACAATGTTTTAATGATGATTGTGATTATTTTATTCCTAGAAAATTTATTATTTTCTGTTTTTACAACTACCATTACTTTTAAACTACCATTGAAAATTTAAATTTTTGTATGAAAATTCAAATTTCAGTTTGCTAAAGCATTAAATTTAACCAGAGTTATTTTTTGTTGTTGTTTTTGCACTTGTTATTTAGGTTAAATGACAAGTGCAAAAACAGCAACAAAAAAATTAAAAACATTTAATAAATTTAATAACAAACAAATAAATTTAACCAGAGTTATTTTTTGTTGTTGTTTTTGCGCTTGTCATTTAGGTTAAATGACGAGTGCAAAAACAACAACAAAAAATAATTTTGTTGTTGTTTTTGCACTTGTCATTTAGGTTAAATGACAAGTACAAAAAGAACAACAAAAAATAATTCTAGGTAAATTTAATGCTTTTGCAAATTTATTTACAAAGTTTTGAATTAGTATACAAAACAAAAAAAGAAATAGAAGTTTTGAATATACTGTCATGAAGTGGCATGCTTTAATTTGAGGAAATAGACAAAATAAAATAAACACGAATTTTGTTTAGTCAAGCTAGGGAAGACTGAACAAAAATCTTTGAGATTTTTTAACTAAAATTTAGTTAAAATTTAACAGAAGTAACAGATACGTGGATCCTAATAAATTTTTTCAAATTAATATTGATGTTAACTTTTTTTAAAGCACTTGTTTGATGTAAAATGCCTGTTTGCGTCACCTAAAAACATGGCCTACAATGCTAATTTAGCAATCAAAACATTCATACAAACTTTTAAATAATGTAAACTGTTAGTGAAAAAAAAAAAGTAGATCTAATAAAAACTAGAAAAATCCTTTAACAATATTAAGCTTGTAGAGTAGGAACAACAGTAACAAAGTCAAAAAAATATTATATAAAAAATGTAAGTAGCAAAACAAATACCTTAAAAACAACAAAAAAAATATCTTAATAAGCGTTTTATTCTTACGCTTTTAAAGATTGTTATTGTTGTTCTAAAAACATTACGTTATATATTACGTTAACAATAGAAAAATGTTTGAACAGTACATACAGCTTAAGTATTTGTATTATCGACAGAACGATTTTAAGTAACATGTGTACGTGTTGGCAAAAAATATTTTGAATGTAACAGGAGCACAACGGGGCAAATGTTTTTTTGTTGGTTTTTTTTTTTTTCATCTCTAGAGTTGAAAAATGATAAGGAAAGAGCAAGAGTAGTAAATTTTTATTTCTGAAAAGAACAAAAAAGCGCTGTCTTGTGGTAGAAACCCATTTATATTTTTTTTCGGAGGAGTTAGTAATATTTAACAAATTTAACTTCATTTAGAAAAGCAAATAACAGTTACCTAAAAAAAGCAGCATTTATATATTTTGGGTAAAATGACATCTGAGGCTGGTGCTACAGATATCAAACCGTAAAAAGGTATCTAAAGATGTTCATAATTTTAATAAAATCTTACTAGCATACTTATTTGCGTAAGCTTGGTCAGTGGTATGAGCGGAATACATATTTACATGAATTTTTAATTGAGAAATCCCTTGTTTTAAAGATAGAAATATAAAATAAATAAATAAATGTAAAACCCTTTAAACTGTTAGATGCAACTTTTTCATTAAAACCTGAAAAAAGATGGAGTTTGATGCTGACTGATGTTATATGATGATATAGGCTGGGATGATGATGATGAAGCAGGTTTGTTTGAGGATGATGAAGCAGGTTCGGATGAAGATGATGACAGCAAAATCGCAAAGAACTTTGGGTCTAATTAAATGTACGTATACATACTTCGATGTGGAAATGGTGAAATCACAATATACGACATTTGTGAGACCGCTTTTTGAGTTCGCTATACCTACCTTATTTACAACGGGATATTGATGAGTTAAAGAAAGTGCAAAGATAAGTAACAAAGTTAGTTCCACGACTTGAAAAGATTTCCACAACTTAAAGAGAAAAGACGAGCTGGAGAAGATTTTATACAACAATATAGACCAAAAAAATTGGTACAAAAATCCAAAACTGGCATCATTCGTGACTAGATCATGCCCGGTTTTTTCTGTAAGGGGCAATAAATACAGGTTAGAAAGAGAATACGTACCATCATGTTTACCGAGATATAATTTCTTTACCAATCGAGTTTGTAAAAATTGGAATTTGTTACCAAATGAAATCATTGAAGCAAGATCGTTGAATGTTTTCAAAGCGCGATTAGATAAACATTTTTTTTAACTTGTGTTTTTTTAAATTGTGTATGCTGTCTATAACCCGATGCTTGCATCGCGCTCCACAATTTTTTTTATTTTTAAATATTTATATTTAAACAAATTTGTAATTGTTACAGCAATAAATATTATTATTAATACTATGGTCTCTAACTTTCCATTCTTTATGCCAAAGATTGAAATAAACGCAGAAAAGCAAACAAATTCGAAAGTATCTCGTGATTTGTAATAAAAAGTTTAGATTTGTAACTGCTATTATAACCTTTTGAATTAATGTTTTGTAGTCTTTTTCTTGAAACCTTATTAAAAGTTATTAAACTTGCAAGATACGAATCTTGAGCATCCTTGCTGGATGGAGAGTTAAAATATCTTATTAACAATTTTCTATCTTCTTCTTTAAGCATTTCAGCCTTATACAGTTACATTCAAGCCCTGTTTTATGCGATGCTAATCTTTGTTTCTTTATACTTTTCACTTTCACACAATCTTTCCTTACTCTTTCTTTTCTTGGATTTTTTTAACATTTTTATTCGTATTTCAAGTGTCGCCATTTTTATATTTAATTTACATTAACCAAATCACCTGTGATTATTTTGAAAAGTAAAGACTTATAGCCGTAAGTATGAGTCTTGATAATTCAAAAAATAAAAATTGTAAACTTGGTTTGTGTCTATTAGTAGATTGCAAATATTATTTTAACTCATTAACACTTGTCTTTTCGGGGAGGTATGTATTGTATAATAAAAAAAGTGATTTTGTTCCATCAAACTATAAAAGTACATCCAATTGTTTTTTTGATTTGAATTCAGATAAAATGTATAATAATATTGTTTATAAAGATAAAAAGTGTAAAAAGTCAAAATTTTCAAAATGTGACCCTGCCGTTTCTTCCCGTGGAGTCTTCAATTGTGAAAACGCATTTCAATCTAGAGATTTGAAAAACTGAACAAATCAAATTTACTACTACTGCGGTTGTCTTGAAAATTCTAATATTGCAGA